TATATATAATATAATGTAAGATATGCCATGAAATGGTTTCGCACACGAATCTCAGCTTGAGCCCGCCAAGGACACGTTCAGCTGCTGTGCAACGAGCGAGGTGAGGAGAAATTGTAGTGCGGTCAAAAATTCATGGCGCAACTTTTTGTTAAATCATATTTCTTCAACCATCGAACATGACTCTCCAGCTTTTGCACAATGACATGTATCAATAATTTGTCTTCACAGATCAATATTTTTGCAAACACCTGTTAGCTGTTTGCTATAAGATTCCTTAATAGATTCCAATTAAACACCCCAGGGGGTGGTTTCTACAGCTTTTAGATTTAAAAGGTTTACATCTGGGACAATATCGCTTTTAATTTTAAAAGCAAGTACCACTTTGTCTGTTCTAATCGTAACATTATGCTTACTCAATGCATGTTTCGAGTACTTTTAGTGCAAAAAAATAAAATGCTCACTTTAAAATGTATTTCTTGTAACAGGTTTTGCTACTTAAAAGTGTAATAGGTGAGCTGTGACGTAAGCCATGCGTATGCAAAATGTGTGTGAGAAGCGGGAAGTGCTATGAACAATCAATTTTCCGTGTGACGGAGATTTATAGTATTTTATATAAATTTATGAAGAAAAGTTTTGTTATCAAGCTTCCATTGTTGTGGAAAAATATGATTGAGTTAGGACAAATTAATACAAACTGCAGTGCAAACTATGAGTGACACTGGTTCACCCGTTAAATAGATGTTTGAGGATAAGGTGCAACACGAATTTTTTTATCGCACTATAATGAGAAGTTGTTTTCATTTCCCAGCGTGTCATCCCTAGCAAAAGGATCATAAACACATACTCGTGTACTTCGTTATTATACGATATGTGAAAAAAGCACCAAAACCTGTGACTATTTGAGTACACGACTATAGATAGTCTAGATATATAGTACTTTGTTTGGGGGGGGGGGGGTGTAGAATTATCAGAATGTATATCATTTGGTGTCCTGTTTACATAATTTGGAGTTCAATAATTATTTTTAAAAAGGTAAAAATTCAAAAGGTGGGTCCCTGACATTTAAAGCACGTTAATTACGACGAAACTTACCCAAAAAGGGCTGTTCTGTGTTCCTTTTTCAAAATCTATTTATACTTAACGAAAACTGGTTTATTGGGCTACTTTAATTGATATAGGATAGCTGGTAAGGATAGTTAATGGGTCACTACGCCCACGGCTAAAAAAGTTCAATGGAGCGTTCACAAAGCAACCCACATAACAGGCCGTAGACAAAGCAACCAATATATATACATATATATGCATACGTATCGGATATAATGACATAATCTATCGCGTATTACAAGCTCATGAAGTTTTTTTTTTTCTATGCGGGTGCGCAAGCCTTCACAAGTAAATTAAAATCGGAATGTACAGTAAAGGCGTCAAATGAAAAACAGCTTGCATGAAAAGGTGCATTTTAGAAGTTGAGTTTCCATCCAGCCATGAGTGGTATGGTATTTAGAGGTCGGTTTTCCAGTTAACATGTTGGGGTTGTAAGTTGACATGGAAGGGTGATGTGCGAAAACTGGAATCAATTGTATTTGTAACTTTTAAAATATTAATTGAAATTGGCTTACTGGTTATTATAAGTTATCTGATCCACAGCAAAGATTGTAGTCCATAACATAGTCCACTTTTCTGTGTAAGATGTACATGTAGTTGTATCAGTTGTATAGCTGTAAATTATCAAGACGAGATAAAAGAAGATAAATAAAATATTAAGCCCATTTTTGAAATGTGTTTACGTGCTTTAATTTTAAAAAATAACATTCAGACAGACTCCCCCCACCCAAAAAATAACAACAACAACAACAACAACAACAACAACAACAACAACAACAACAACAACAACAACCAAATAAGCAAAATCAAAAGACAACCCCCCAAAAAAAAACAAAAAAACAACAACAACAACAAAAAACAACAACAAACAAACAAGCAAAAAACACACACATATAAACAGGCCAGCTGAAGTTTGGGGAGATTTTCTATCTTTGCACGGGTAAAACATCGTGCAAGATACGAATAATTAATAAATTTTTTATTAATCTCAATAATAATGTAACCCTGTGTGCCTGGTGATGAGAACGAAGGAGGGAAAGATGAAGTTTAAAAAAAGCAGAACAAACAAACAGGGTATAAAAACAAAACAAAAACTAAAGCATAAACTGTCGTAATACTT